GCGGTGCTCAAAGCCAGTTTCTGCCAAACAGTCACCAGGGCTGCTATTTTTGAACAAAAGGGAAAGGAACCTAAGGACACAGAAGAGGCCACACTGGGAGTTGTTTGATGAGGTCACATGGTTAAAGTACAGGTACGAAAGATGGAAAACCAAGGATCAAGTGAAAGGATGTTGCGAATACATATTATCTAGAAAGACTAGCACCTTGAACAGGCTGAAAGCAAAAAATGCTGAAGGTAATTAAAGGCATTTTTCTTGTGTGCTCAGTGGAGGGAAAGCATAATCTGATATTTAAGGTACCTGGTAAAATGTATTGGAGCCCTGGTGGTGCAGTGGTTAAGGGTTTAAGAGATCGGCTGCTAATCAAAAAGTGGGAAGTTCGAATCCACGAGCCGTTCCTTGGAAACCCTATGTGGCAGTTCTGCTCTCTCCAGTGGGGTCACTATGACTCAGAATCAACTCGACGGCAACAGGTTTTAATGGGGTAAAATACTATTCCTATTTTTCATCTTCATTCAGTAAATATTTACTGCGTGCCACCTGTTACAAGCATTGATCTGAGCACTCGGGACATGACACTAAACAAAGTCCCTGTCCTCATGGAGCTTGAATTTATCAATCTTTTCTCTTATTGGAAAGGACAGAACAAATCCAGAAAATAGTGAACCAGAAGATGAACTGGAAGGGGAGATCATAAAGTCTTTAACTGCTTTCAATTCCTATCTTCTGGTTTGGACAAAAATCCATCCTAGATAACTAATGAGAACTTCCAGATAAGATGGCTGAACCATGTTGACAGTGTTTGACAAATCACAGAGACCGTCACACCAGGGACAGAAAAGGTTCCTTTTGAAATAGTAAGAAAGTTATGTGCGGTAAACCATACCCCAGTGAACTTGACAGTGACCCTTGGTGGAATTCTAAAAAAGCTTATTTAAAGAGTGGTTTATACATATTTTAGAAAGGACGGGGTGGGAGAAGGAGCCAGAAGGAACTCACTAAAACTGTCATGTTAGAGTGAATTCATTTTGTTTTCTGAAACAATTGCTAGATGTGGAGTGAAAGAGGGAAGATTACTGTTGATGGAGTGTATCTGGAGTTCATCTTAGCATTTATGATACCTTTGTGTAAATGATGCTGAAATTTAGACTGGATTATAATGTACCGTTCAAAACTGACTGAAGGATGAACCATGGGGACTAGTTAGTGTGATTGGCAGGTAGGAGAGAGAGCCAAGTGAAGTACTTCAGTGCTTCGTCCTCACCTGTACCTTTCAGCGTTATCCTTATTAAATTGGCTACAGACACAGTTGGCTTGCCAATAAAAAGGATGCTGATAAAAAGGAGTGGGTAAGTGCTATGTTCAATAATAAATTGGTCTCTAAAAATGTTTGAACAGGACCAAAAGATACGAAGCCAAATAGAAATATAAAAAAAGAAATTTAGCAAGAATGAATGTCAGGTCTTGTGGGAAGGGCTGACAGAAGGTACACAGTTTAATTCAAATCCATGAGTGCTTGCTGTGCCCTAAGTCAGGTACTGGGCCCAATTTTGAAAAGGTGTAGTGGTGAGAAAACAGCGTAAGAAGATAATTACAGATCAAAGAAATGATAATTGAAATATGTCCAGGGCACATGAGGTGGGGGGAGTGGTGAGCTGTGTCGGGGTAATCACCTTCAGACAGACAGCTACATTTCAGCTGGTTTTAAAGGTTGAGTGATTGTTAACCAGGTAGATTAGGAACAGAGCCAGTATTTCAGGTGAAAGGAACAGCATGTGCAAACTCATGAAATTTTGAAACAGTATAGTATGTTTCTGGAATGTATTTGAAGGAAGTGTGGAGATAATAAACTGGGACCAGATTTTGAAGATCATTAGCATGCTAAAGAGTTTGGACCCAAAGCTAGCATTTCCCAACTCTGCGTTCTCTGGAATACTTGTTCCACAGATTGTTAATTGTCTACCATGAAAAATAATTATTCTGTTCTAAAGTGAGTTTAAGCAGGTTTATTTACTATAGGTTAAATAGCCTTTAATATGCTAGCATGTGCACTGAATTGCTAGGATCAGGATATGTGAGTATTTCCCTAGGTTTTTGACCACACAGCATCTGTAAAAATGATCTGTAAGCAGATAATGGGGGCCGTGAAGGGCTTTATGTAGAGGGCGGCATGATTTAGATCTGCGTCTGGGGAGTCGGTCAGTTTTTCCTACAGTTTAGATGTCGACTCTGGAGGATGAGGTTGGAATTGGGAGGAGTAGAGGCGGGAGGAGAGACCACAATCTGGGAACTCAGGCAGGGAGTCTGTTGCCCAGACAAAAAATGACGTGGAGTTAAACTAAAGGAGTGGCAGTGGGTATTTCATTGTTTAGGGAAAGGACAGCTTCCTAAAACATTTAGAGGATAAACTAAACATATCTTTGTGACGAGATGGGACATAGAAAATGAGGAAAGAAGTGTTGATTCTGACTTGACTGTCTTAGTTGCTTTCAACCAAGATATGGAATGCAGGAGGAAAATCATTTATTGGGGCTGATTCGGTTTTGAATATTTAAGGTGCTTTGGGGACATCTAGTTGGACGCAAATTGGATATACAGGCCCAGGGCTTGGCAAAGAGAGCTGGGCTGGAGGGACAGGTTTGTAAGTCATTAATGTGTGCGTAGTTAAGACCATGGGTGTAGGTGAGAGTGCTTGAAATAAGATCCCTCCTGTACTGCTTTATACCAGAATGAGTGATCAAAATGTAAACATGTCTTTAAAAATGAAGTATGAGAGATTTTATCAAAATCTTGGAGAGGGAAAGCTTTTTAAGCAAAATCTAGAAACCATGATTGCATAAAACTTTAAAAATTTAGCACAGAAAAAAATCACCATTAAACAAACTCAACTAACTAGTAAATAATATTTTAAATACATAAAGATCTACTATTCATATTGAGGAAACCCTGGTGGCATAGTGGTTAAGAGCTCGGCTGCTAACCAAACGGTCGGCAGTTCGAATCCACCTGGCGCTCCTTGGAAGCCTTATGGGGAAGTTCTGCTCTGTTCTGTAGGGTCACTGGGAGTTGGAATTGACTCAATGGCAATGGGTTTGGTTTTTTTAATTATTCATTTTGAAAGAGCTCTTAATAAACCACTAAGAATAAAACTAAAAACCAAGTAGAAAACTTGTGAAGGGCATTACAGGCAGTTCACAGAAAAAGAAGTATAAATAATTTATAAACCTAAAAAATGTTCACCCTCACTCATAAAAATGGACATCAAACTAAAAACAATAAGCTACCATTTTTACCTCTTAAGACCAGCAAAGGTCAAAGAGTTTGACAAGAATTAACAAGGATGTGGAATAACAGGCTCCTCATAGACTGTTGGTAAAAGGATAAAATACTCTGCTCTTTGGAAGGCGGTTGAACAGTACTACAAATGTAACAGTATAACGAATAATGCTACCCTCTGAGTCAACAGTTCCACTGCTAGTGTGGTGTGTAAACCACACAGGGAGTAGTACTCTGCCGTTGAGAAAAGTCAGGTAGAGCTTTGTGTGGTGGTCAGTGTTGGTATCCAAGGGACATTGTTAGGTGAAAAGGGCGAGGCGCAGAATAGTGAATGCATGTGGTACGCACCCGTGAGTAAAGAAAAGAGATTACACTTACATTTATACTTGTGCATAGACATTTTCTGGAAGGATGCACAAAAACTCCTAGTGGTGACTGCCCCTAGGGAACTGGACCGGGGTTCAGGCTGGAAGAATTTACCAAATATATGATTACTTTTGGAAAAAAAAGAAAAAGAAGACACCATACATAAAACAGCAAACAAACTGGTTACTTTTAATTGAGTTTGCTATTAGAGAGGTTTCTGCTAAGTCTAGTGATGATCTGTTAGAATTGTTTTAAGGGGCTTTATGTGTTCAAGACCCCGAGCCCTGGTGGCACAGTGGTTAAGAGCTCGGCTGATAACCAAAAGGTCAGCAGTTTGAATCCACCAGCTGCTCCTTGAAAACCCTATGGGGCAGTTCTACTCTGTGCTATAGGGTCACTTTGACTCTGAATTGACTCAGTGGCAACAGGTTTGGTTTTTTTTTTTTTTTTTTGGTTTTCTGTGTTCAAGCGGAAATGAGGTAGTCAGATCACCGTTTAGCCTTTTCCAGCTCAGCTTTGGTGATTGTCAATTTAGAGAACACTGTCCATTTGCACTACAATAAATGTCATCAGAATGATAAATTTATGTGCTGGGCTGATGTACACATGACACAGAAAAGCTCTTTCTCTCAATTACAGGGGTCCCGATCTCATCTGCTGTCGCTGGTGTGGCCGTAGGGCTGGTCACCAGGACCAACCCTGAGAAGAATGACATAGAAGATTATCGTTTGCTGACAGATATTCTGGCAAGTGCCTTCACACGCTGAAACATTCAATGGTGAAAATGACACATGCCTTACAGCATCCAGTGCTTAGGAGAATGCAGGCTGTGCTGGAGGAACAGTGCGGGCAGTGCTGGAGGGACAGTGCTGGAGGGACAGTGCGGGCGGTGCTGGAGG